AAATTGGGGTTCCTTTGGTCAAAAGGGTGGATGGAGATGATCGTGTCGGGAAACAGCCAGGCCTACTCTAATATTAAACCAGCTGCTTTTTGGAGAGTTCTATGCAGTGTCTAGCACATAGTTACTTGATAAAAATTACACTATAGCCAGATGTGCTGGCACACACCTATAGTCCTGGCACTTAGGAAGCCAAAGAAGGAGCACTGCCAGGTTCCAGGTCAGCCTGGGCTAAATAATAAGGCTATCTCTCAAAAAAGAAAAGGTTAGGCTATAAAAACTACTGCTAATAGAGTTTTTGCTGCTGCTCACCTTATTTGGTTTCTGGCTAAAAGGAATAGCTTGGTTATATCCACGTATGTCCTTCACCTGCCTACAAAGCTGTCTTAGCTATTTTTCTATTGCTGTGACAAAACATTACAAGCAAGGCAGCTCATAAAAGAAAGCATTTAATTTGGAGGCTCCTGGTTCTAGAGGGTTCGAGTCCATGACTATCGCGGCGGGGAGCATGTCAGCAAGCAGTCAGGCATGGTGCTAGACCGAGAGGTTACATCCTGAGCCACAGGCTGGAGCCACAGGGAGAGCTAACTGGAAGTGGTGTGGAGCTTTTGAAGCCTCTACATGCCCCACTCAGTGACACAGCTCCTCCAACAAGGCCACACCTGCAGTCCTTCCCAGACAGTTTCACCAGCTGCGAACCAAGAATTTGAATATACAAGCCTATGGAAAGGACGTTCTCATTCAAAACACCACAAACATATACTGCTCTTGCTGTAGTTCCAACTATCTCCCTGCAAATCTGGAAAAAAATGGCATTTTATCCAAGAATTCTTCCTCCACCACCTACTCCTAACAGGGAGTTCCAAAATGCTGGGTCCCCCACACCACTGCATTAACAATTATGTCATAAAATACTATCAGGTTCTAAAACAAGAACAGTACCTAGTAATTAAAGCTGCACACATATACACACACCTGGTATGACCATCAGCCTTCTTGAGTCAAATACGGCATATTCCAAAATGCAAAGTTTAAATAATGTGTGTGTGTGTGTGTGTGAGAGAGAGAGAGAGAGAGAGAGAGAGAGATGAGGAAGAGGTCATAAATATTCCATTATCCAAGCATGAAGAGAGGGGCTAGGGAGATGGCTCAGTGGGTGAGAACACATAGCAGGAGGGCCAGAGCTCAGTCCCCAAGCACCCAGGTAAAAGCTGGGAATGTCCATGTGCCTTTACCCCCAGCACACGCTATGGTGAGAGGAAACAGTGTGAAATCTCTCTCTCACGGGAATATATGACACCCAACATTCTCTTCTGGCTTCTGCTCATGCACTCATGAGCACACATTCATAGACCACACACAAACACACCAAAAGAAGAAGAGTGAAAAGAAAAAATATAGAAATAAGTGCTAATTGTTGCTGGGCATGGTGGCGCCTTCAATCCCAGCACTCGGGAGGCAGAGCATGGCAGGTCTCTGTTCTAAGACAGCCAGAGCTACATGGTGAGACCCTATCTGAAAATCACACACAAAAAAGAAGTAATAATTGCAAAGTTCTCTAATTACACCATATTTTGAACCCACATGGAAGTACAGATGGTAGTTCATGAGCCTTCCTTCCGCTACCACAAGCAGGGTTTATCACTGAGGTTGGACTTTCCCAGGCAACCTCCTATCTCCAAGAAAGGGTGTCAGTGGAAGCGACAGTTCCTTGTGTGGTTTGTCTGGACGCTTGTCTGCATCTGCTGTAACAAGGGCAGGCCACAGGTAGCTGCTACCCCTTCTGGCTAGGTCCCAAAACACACGTGGACATGCTAGCACTCAACCTACAGCTACCAAAGTCAGGATGCTCCCAGAAGCTGAACCTGCATTCGCCTGAAGACCAGAGAGTGTGAAGATGAGCACCTGTTGCTATAGACCAGGAAATTCTGTTATGCTGCTGTATTGAGCGACATCATTTTGTCATTTGGTGTGTGTGGGCATTTCTTATCTGTTCATTTACTTTTGTCCCTTGTCTTCATCTATAAGAGAATAGACTGAAGACTCATTGGCTGCACCCAATGATTTCTATCTCAGAACCAACTGTTCTAAACTTGCAAGACTCACATTATTAGTGTTGGCGCTTTTCTGCTTTCCATTTGCTCCACTATCTTATAAAATAAACAAACTTGAAGTAAGCCACCAAGGAGCTGTATAAATATTGCTGAGACTGAACTAGTAGCTGGCAAGAGGTGCCCCGCGTGATGGGCAATGGTAACAGGCTGGCTGCCTTTGAAAAGCCAACCGATGTCCTAGCACAGCAGGTGAAACAAAGATTGCAAACTCGCGCTAACCGGAGGCACAGACTGTCCCCCAGGCTGGACCCGTGGAGAGCACCACTCACCTCACTCATCCTCCACAACACACAGAACTGGGGTCTCTGGCTTTTTACAGCATAATAAAAAAAAGAGAGCCACACTATTTCAGAAGAATAATTCAAAATGTACGTCTATTTAATCACTAGTGAACAGGGATTTTCTTGCAAGTGAGAGAAAAATGAAAGTCTTAGAGTGCAGGATACCAACCGACTGGTGTTAAGAACATTTACTCAACCAAAACGCACTTAAATTGGAAATTTGAAGTATCAAGAAAAATAAAAGAGCATGAATTTTTGCTTTGCCTTCTCTTCAATCGTGATTAAGTGTAGAACTAATTAATTGGCCAAAAATGCTCTACTAGAAACACAACCTACACAAAGTTGTTAAGTTTGTCCACTAGCAGAAGCAGGAGCCTTTGGATGAATAGGCAGGCAGGCACAAGGACCATTAACATCACAGGCACTCTTCCTAGGTGGCCTCTGTGTATGCTGGGGAGTCCACATTTCACACTGGACTTGTGCAGAGCACACAACCAAAATCTGAATTCAAGGCCATGGCAAGGTCACGGGCTCTGGGTCAAACAAAAGTACCTACCATCAAGGTATAGTATATACTAATACCTTTCCATCTCCACAACCATAATTTAGGGGAGATAGCAGCACCTACTTCACGTGGGCTCTGCTAAGTTTAGAATAAGGTAAGGAATGTGCGCACACAGTAACAGCGGCAGCAAGAGTAATAGTACCTCTTGACACACCTGGCTTCTCTGCCCTAACCGTTACATTCAGCTCACAATTTGCTCAGACAAAGCTGAGATCCATAGCACTTGTGCCTTTCTAATGAATTCAAAGAGAAAGGTGCTGAAAATCAGCTTTTCACTGGCACAAAGTTAAGACCTGGTCCATCGTCCCCAATTTATCCATCCAAGTAAGTCTCACAAGCCATACAGACCTCCTTCCCACAAAACTGTCAAGGGCTTTTATTAGAGTTCAGAAGCACCAACAAGATGCCTGAGATGAGAAGGTAAAATCCTCTACTCACTACCACCTCCATCCTAAATGACACCCTGCAAAGGAGAAGCAGGCAGTGCTCACCTCTATGAATAGAGCCAGGGTGTCAAATCTAAAAGAATCCTTTCTATTTGTATGAAACTAGTAAAGCACGTTTCCCTGCTTAAAACACACCTTACAAACACACCAAATCTGATTTAAGAGCCAAACTACATACTCAGAAACAGTGCGAGTTCACAAGGACAAGAGTAGAGTGACCACAGAGACAGAGTGCCACACCCTTCTCTCAGCTCAATCGTGAATGCATCTCTTCCAAGGAAGACTGCAATTCTGGGGGAAAGGTTGGTGATCCCATCAAGCCACCCCAGCATCCATGCCCGCTTCGCTCTTCACACAGACTCCTTTCATGTTTAAGTCAAAGACTCAGCATCCACAGCTATTGCTAGTGGCAGACAAGGAAGACAGAACACAGGTCGGGCATACTTGCTGCTAAGCCCATTTTCGAGGAGTTTGCTTCCCGCTTCTCTGCTTCTCGCAGCTGGAGCTCCTACCTGGTGGAAACCAACGGTTAAGTAAAACCACTGATTTAAAGAGCCAACCAGGAAACTAACCATGACAAGTGGAAGCAGCCCTCCTCTCCCGAGCATTGATTGGCTCTTAGCGTTCCACCCGTCCCGTTCTGCCCACATAAGTGGCAGGTGTGGCTGTCAGTCACGGAGAGAGCTGACAATTCACCGCTCCAGGAGTAAATTCTCTTTCATCCAGCAAAGGCAGGTAGCCGCCTAAAATCGATCTTCTACTAACAGAACGGACCCTCCCTCTGGCGAGGAGGAGAAAGACCCCCTAACTGCAAAATAAATTATATACGGCCGAAGAGGGGAGAGTTTACGGGTACTATTTTATCATCACACACCAAAGGAGCCCTTATTCTTCACTGTCCTAAAAATGATCTTTCAAAGGCTCGGACAGTAATAATAATATTTTTTGTAAAAAGGTGCCTCCTTGTAAGTACCCCTTGTATAATTAGGAGATGGAGAAAGAAGAGGTAGAAACGCTGTTTAATTTCACATCGTAATGTCACACACAGACACACACACACACACACACACACACACACACACACACACACACACACCAGCTCCAACCCCTCCCCAGTAAATCATCTTCATTTTCCCAGGCATGGATTTTTCTTTTTGAACCTGCGTCCGTCCTCCCCATTCTGGGTGAGCCCACCCAGACAACCAGGCTCACAACCCCCGGGGCCGGGGTTCCTCTGCTCTCCACTTTATTTGGCTTGCGGTTCTGCGAGACCCCGGCCCTCGCCATCACCCCACCCCTCCAGGCAACAGGGGAGGGGGCTCTGCAGGAAAGGCGAGGACGGCGAGGATGGCTCCGGGAGAGGCACTGCAGGAGGTGGCCCGGGGCGGGCGCCGGGAGAACTGTGCACTTGTTCCAATCCGGGGGTTTACGCGCCGAGGCAAATCCGCCCTTAGGCCGCCCCATCCCTTCCCCCGCCCGAGAGAGCCCCGAGGAGGCGGCTGCGTCTCCCCTCGGCTCCCCGGATAACGCATTGCAGCTGCCCACGAGCGGCGGGGACCCGCGCGGGGGAGCCGGGCCCCCGGCGTCTGCGTCTCACCTTAGCGATGCTCGCCCCGGCGCGGTCCCGCATGGATTCTTACAACCTCGCGTGGCCGCGGCCCCGGGCGGCCGGGAGGAGCCCGCGCGACCAGGAGCGCGAGGCGGCGGAGCGCGGGCAGCGCGGGGAGGCGGCGGGGTGCGCGGCC